TCCTCCCAAAGTATAGTAAATTCCGCCCCTCACTGTTGACGTTTTCGGTTCCACGGCCTGCTTCATGGCACTCATGAATCCTTGGATGGGCAATAAATTCCTCTATTTTCGGCCTTAGTACATTCATTTCCATAGGCTACCAGTCTAGTGAATCATACGCTGGTCTCTACGTACACTGAAGGATTAAATGTGAAAATACTTCCGTTTTGCAACAAGACGTAAATGGCCTCAGGGCAGGTCGTGGGCGTCCACCACTTCGGAGTCTCAGCATGCGCTACCTGCGAATTTCTTCTCATCTTTCTACTGTGGCTCGATTTTCTTGTCTGATAATAGCCAAAATTACAGCTCAAATATACGCCGCCTCAACGGACTTTGGTTTTCCTGCTGGAGGCATCACTAGCCAGTCCGAATGTTCACTGTCCTTTGACGCTTCTCTCCTGCACAGTAGCACAGATTGTCTTTAGTACGTAATAACTAGTTTGTTTGTTCCCCGCAAACTACGGGGACCGCCGCTGTTCCAAATAGGACACAGTAGTAGAGCAAAATATACTTCACACGACATTTCCTTCCTCCGACCTGCTCTGGTGACAATAGGCCGTTAAGCTAACTATAGATGCACCGACTTTCTTGCCTGTGCGTGCCACGCATGCGGGTCCCACACAAACCAAGTGGGAGTGGGGTCTCACAGAGGCCGCAGCAAAAAGGTATTGCAGCCTGAGCTTTAGTACTCAGTAAGACTACACTGTCTTATTTCTTGGAGGTCTTCTACTCTAAGATTTTTTAGGTGTTCTAATAGTCCCAGCGCATTCTCGGTGGCCTAGAAAGTGGAACCTAGACGCTGAATGCGAACCACGACACCGAGTTAAAGCGACAAAAAATAGGTTTACGTGCTGTTACCGATGTGACGCTAAGTGCCGTACAAAGTTTGTCATATGAAACCATCCACGTATACGATGCGCCATTGGGAACATCATTCAAGACATTATCAAACTTTGTTGTATTAGTGTATTATGCGTTTTGTTAGGTGCCTTTTCATACATACATATGCAACTGAAGAAACCAATGAAGTGCGTGCATTTTCATGGACGTTGTTCCCTACGCATACTGTTGGTTTTACAGTCGTTCTTTGGTGTATTATTTGTAGGGTGTCTGTACAGACCAGTGTTATTCTGTTACCGGCTGTCCTTACCATCACTAGGCTGATATCTGCACGGCCAGTGCTCCCTCCGTTTTGAGCCTTAATCCGCTTCACTTAGACTATTCTATCTGCAGTCGCCAGCGACTAAGAAGTCACGCATACAGGCCTTATGTGCTTTCGTCTGGGTTTCCATCCGTCGAGTAGCTTTCTAATGGCCTGGTAGTGCATGTCGATTCCAGGCAAGCGTGTGTATATGGCAGGGAACATGGAGCCGCAAGCAGTGTGAGAAGGATTACGCAGTCCCGTCTCACTGTGGAGGCCCCAAAGGTTAACGCGTTTTCCTTAACGCGCACCATACTATCGACAGGTGTTAAAGCTAAGAAGGTTTAACCCTAACAGCTTCGATCTTCCGGGCCCGGTTCCTTGGGAGAGGAGACGATGGGAAAGCCAGATTGTTAGGAGTAGTGTATTCTGCAGAGGGATAGGAGA